AGAACTTTTCTGCAGTGACTAAAAAGTCATCAACAGATGACAGTATCTTAACAGGTGCTGCAAGTAAATGACAGAGAGGCTAACACAGATACAGAATAAGAGGGTAAACTATAACAGGATGAACAAATAGGAAGCAGCAAAATACATCATTTAGGCACACTGTTCAGATTGCTGCAAAATAATGAACTTTAAACTTTTCCCTAATGACAAGCATTTATCCTTTAGCAACCAGAAAAAAATAAACGCATAGAACAAATAGGGTTGCCATTGTAAGACAAGAGCCATGTATAGTATTGCATGTTTTGCTTTCTGCTGAGGCTCATCGGAACTACTGTGCTCTGAAGGGTGCAGAGCAAGCGGTGCAGCTTGCTGGCAGCATACCATTCTGCTCTAACTTAGAACAGTACAGCAATGCAATCTAATTTCAGCAGTAATAGAAGAGGGTCAGATCTGTATTTCTGGAGGCCCTCTCTCAAGGCATTACACCAAATCTTGACTTTAGACAGCACGGGACGCTTGCTAGCATGTGTGAGCACATGTACATACACATACCTCCGCTCAAATGCTATCTTAACAGCAGTTTTGTGTCTCTACTTAGAAAGACAGCAATCTATATAGAAATATGCTGTGGTCACATCTGACATTTCTAAGGCCTGTAGGGTTGTCCATGCTCTTCCTAGGAGTCCTTCCAGAACTCATTTCAGTATCATTGAATCATATTTGATTCTGCTACATGCACTAAGTGGTCTCTTGTCAGAATGTTTCTTTCACAGCTGGGTAACAAGTTGATAGGTGATATCTCTATGTGATAGGCCATATTTTACCAGCTGCACCAGTAAAGTCACATTGTTCCCATCCATAAACCAAATATGTTTTACTAGTGCTCACCTCCACCTCTGGGACACTTTACAGCACCCCAGATGTTCCCTATTAAAATGAGCTTCACTGAGTCACAAATAATAAAAAGGTTACCATAAAACAGGAAAGAGACACAAGTATAATTTTAAAAAAATCCCAAACTTCTGAATGCTTTGAATTCATCTATTATTAGATCATTTTTCTTCTACTGAATAAGTAATTAATTATTAATATTCAGTAGTCATTAAAAGAACTCTGCAATGGTTATAGATCCCTCCCTGTTCACCAGAGAATTGAGCTGGATGAAAGCAACTTTATTCTTTGAGTGTGAAAGAAACAAACAAGACAGTTCCAAAAGCCATTGTTTTGACACTTAATTCTCAAATCCACAGACAAAGACCCGATATTGCTAACAGATTTACATGGGTTGAAACTTTGACTTATGGCCATTTCTATTAGTGAAAGAAAAATTACACAGGTATAGTTTAACCACTTAGGAAAATAATGGAGGAAATATAGAGTTGACCTCAATTTAGCAGGAGAATTCCTACTAGTATTCCTAAAACCAGACTGCAACCCATCTTGTATGAATGTCTGTGAATGCTAAGATAACAGCTCCATAAATGTTGATTTCCTGATGTGGGAAGAACGAGTTTTAACTTAATGCACTACATTCGCCTGTGCAAAAAGGTCTTCTATAATATAAATTTAAATATACAATCTGTTTTACAATGTTTTCCATCATCTTTTCTCTCCATATGTTCTCCCACTAGGAATCTAATGAGTTCTACATATGAGGGATGACAAGGGAATATGCCTGAGAAATAATTCGAGCAATTACGGCATATGGAGGCATTGTTTTTGAGTCGCTTCTGCCATGAACATTAGGCAGAGCATCTGGGACCAAATTCTGTCTACCTGCCCATGGACAGTAGCAAAACCATCATCTGCCATTTGTAAATTCTGCTGAGGTAATCTGCCACAGAGAGAGAGGACCATTTCATCAGCTTTATGATCAGAGAGCATATTGAAACACAGGCCATTTATACTTAGAGAAAAACGTTTCTATTCAGATAAAACAGTTTGAGCTGGAAAACATTCTGAAAGCTAATGATAGAAAATCATCATTTCTCTTTTTCTTTTATCTCCAAGAAAAAACTACAAAGAGACCATATTTAGTTCCAGGCCATTATTTATAAAAGAAACTTTTCTCATCACTTATGAAGTTTGGTAAGAACCGACTCTCCCAGCTAAAGAGAAAATTACTGAAGAAAAATAGAAAGCACAAAAAAACCTCGAACTCTAAACTGGTAATAGGAAGAATTATATTCTATACATCCAAATATTAGCAAGATATCCAGAATTAAAAATAAAGAGAGAAACAGAGAAAACAAGAGCTTTCTTATAAGGAGCCATAGTGAGCAAAACAACCACCTTGCATTTTGAATGTTCTGGATGCAATGATCTAACTACAAAGACATAAAGCTAAAGAATTTAAGATCAGTTTTTGACATGTTTGTTCTAACAATAAGGAGAAAAGACTGAGAAATTCAACCAATATGCCAATAACGTGTAAACCTGCAACTGCACCTATTTCATCATTTCCAAGAAAAATCTCTCAGCGATGTAAATAACATTAGTATTTTTACTTTTTTTTTTCCCATTATGCATTGCTGAATTTTAAGAAAAGTAATACGTCCCAAAGTGCAGGGTCTCTAGTGTTTCTTAGTGGTATTGTGGAGAAAAGAATGGCCCTGTTGTTACAGAAGATCTACACAGACTTTTATAGTTATGAACATAAGCATAATTTGAAGAGCTAATATAAAACATTAGCAAGATTACATATGGACAGTAATACTTTTATTACACAAATTATTCTTGAACTTAGTTGGACAATAAATGTTTTCAGAAGTAAAAGCTAGCTATAGTTCAAGCCTTTCAGTCATGGCTAATATTGATCTGATGAGTTATAATTAATCAAGAAAATCTATGATCAAAGAACAAGTGGACTTCACTTCCCATTGCCACATAACAGTACCTGAATGGTAGTAAGGAGGATTTGAAAACAGAGAGAAAGTTATTTAATTATTAACCTCAACAAGGACAAGCACATGAATTTTGATTTTCTCATTCAGGATTTTTTGAGCAAAATACTGGACACAAAATTTTGAAAGCTTTATCCAAGGCACTTTGCCCTTTCTACAGTCTAGTTTTGGAGCAAATCCCAGGAACACAAAACAGATCTTTACACCACTCTAGAGAACAGAACCAAGGACTTGCTGTCACCACCACAAAAAGCCCCAGCCTGGATTTCTGTGGGTTGCTGCCTGTATGCAGGATCCACATCCCCATAATCTCCATCTCTGGTAATGAAACCATACTACCATGGTTTTGCCTAGCCTGGCATCCCACTGATAGTAGGCTGAGAAAGAGCAGTCATTCCTCTATAGAATTTTTCCCAGCTGACACAAGCAATGGTCCTCCTACCAGAGGGTCTAAAATTAATTTTGGATTAAAAGATGTTGGCAACATTTGTCATCACTTGTCAAAATAAACTTGTGGGAAATTTACCCTTTTTATATACTAGCTTTTGTAATCACCACAAAGAAGTGCAGATGAATACAGAAGATGCAAAACAACCAGACATGGAAGGCATTTTTGCTGAAATGTTCACAATGACAGTAAAGCGATAGCAGAAAATTATGTACAGGAACAAGATCAAAGATGTAATGTGGAAATATTTTCTAATGCTATAAAAGAATAAACAGAAAAGTTTTTCAGGATACAAACTGTGTTATGAACACTGATCAAGTGATTAGGTAATTCTCATTATTTAATATCATTTAAATAATGTGAAAACATTTATTGCTATCCCATTGTTCAGGCGTGACGTGTTTGATTACAAACCAATCTAACCATTCGAAAGAAAAATAGAGATAAAGGCAATACTGCTATTACAAACCAACACTGTGTCCTTTTCCCTTGTCAGTATCGTTGTTAACATCCTACTTGTAAAATTCAAGTCATGAAGGAGGAGGCAGTAAATCAGCCAAAAAGAATGCCAATCACATCTTTCTGTTTGGGTGTTACAGACAGTCATGCATTACCCAGATAGTTATAAAAGCCTGCTGTACAATCATAATTAGGAAAATGAAAACAGCAACAACAACAAATAAGCTGCACATACTTTCAAAATAACAAACTTTATAGTAGGTATTTTGTTCTAAAATATATCTGATGCAGATTTTTGAAATTTTTTTTTTTTTAAGCTCTATTTCATATTATTAGATCTGGCTTGGAATTTTTATCATTAAAACTCATATCAGGATTTCCTTTTCACTTTGTTGAGCTGACCTAGTATGTTTCACTTTGAAAGGTTTGAACAAAGCAGTCAGTCTTCTTTCCATTACTGCACTCCCATACAAAACTGCATACAGAGACCACATATTTTCTAATGATTCAGAGCTCTTGATGACTACTGAGTTTGAAAGGACACAAGGATTTCCCTCTGATCTTTATGCCTGATAATGTTTTTATTCAAATGTATATCAAATAAAGTTGGAAGCAGAATATAAGGAATGAAGTAGAAAATGAAGAATAATTCATCCCCAGACACCCACAATATGAATGTCCATAGCTGACATGAGCTACTACATTGAGTCACTTCAATTTTCAAAGACACCACTGCTAAAACAGACACAGTGGACAGCTGAACTATGGTTCCCACATTGCCCTGGGATTGACCAGCAGAGCTCACTGGTTTTATTTTTTAAAGCAGTTCAATAAATGAAACCAAACATTACCATTTTAGGAATGTCTAACATGACATTTTCAGGAATACTGTGGGGGAAAAAAGCAGTGTTTTTATTCAGCCTAACCTAAAAAGAGCAGTGCACCCACTTGAATTTCCCATGATAATGCTAGAACAGTTGCATTAGATCAATTTCCTTTGCAGAAAGATCTTTCAAACCAGTGGGAGAGAATTCCAGCTCTACTCAGTAAGTACAAAATTAATAAAACCTTTGAAATTCTCACTCACTGAACAAAATTATTTTGTTCTACATGTAAACAAGATAGATCTTCAAAGTGCACATCCATTCAAGGAACTCTGTTTTATATCACAATTTTATTCACTTGTTATGAATTATCACAACATTAATCTACTGCAGATAATCTACTCGTTATATTTGAAAATCCATTTATTTTCACTTATTGATATGCATGTGTTACACTTGTATATAATACAGTATTTTCAGTGTTGGTTTAAGAACAAAGGAACAAATAAAACAATATTCAGAAGCATGATGCAGACTTTTGACCAAAGACAGTTCATATTCAGATTTTACAAAACACCACATTAATACTTTGCACTGTCCCAGTCTTTTTAAGATGCTACCTTCCATCCTGCATTCGCACATCATCCATTAATTACTAATCCATCCTAAAATACCGAGATACCTAATTGCTGCTACAAACAGTTTATCCTAATTAAATTTCAATCAGAGAAGAATATTTTTCCCTGCCAACATTTTTTATTATTTCTCAGCAGAATGATAGAAGATATTTCTCAATTTTATTCCCAACAATCATTTATTTTGTTTAAGATCTCCTGTGCAGTAACACAACAGAGGTAATGAAATGGTTTTGGAGCCGCCGGGGATAGCGTGACAGGCAGATCCCTCCAAGGTATGCAACCATCATGGAACTTTATATATAACTACCTTGCATGTCAATAGCTGGTAATGAAAAAATCATTTCCATCTTATTTTCAGAGAGCTTGGTAACCACACAGGACTTCTAAATAAGCTTCATCCTATATATTTTTTGCCTACCATTAACTGTGTGTGCTTATCATTTAATGCACCAAAGCATACAGTCAGAACTCTCTCACTCTCAGTTAGCATGCTTATGTAGTGTCATTAAAAGGAATTGCCAAATTTTTGTTGTATCAATATTACAGATGGCACAATATACACTAAATGAAGTATAAAATTATACATTCTGTGATAACTTAGAAAAAAGTTCATAGATGCTTAAGGCCTTTAAATATGGAGGTTTTTTCATGTAACAGCACATCACAAGGTTCAAAAAATTGCTACTGAAATAGAAAATTAAAAAAAGAAAATGTGATTTTGGCACAGATTAGGTTTGAATTTCAGGACAGTAAGCAAGCAAAATACTCATGAACCCTATATCTAGGAGGGCACTAGGACATTTTTCCTTTATAGCAATCAGTCTGAGCAGACATCTACATAAGCATCCAACAGTACTTAGTTTAAAGCAAGAGATTTTATTTTTCACTGAAAAGAGAAAAAAATCTGAATGATTACCACCCAATTTCATAATTGAAAAACTCATTTACATCCCTGCCTACTTTTATAAAAATGGATGAAACACTTTCCTTGACTGCTTACCATGAATTTCAGTGATTTAAAGGTTGGGAAAGTAAAGTGCAGGAACACTTGCCTCCTTCAAAGTAAATTGAAATATATATCTTAAAGGTATAAAATGCTTTATAATGGAAGTGGTAATTGAGTTTTGACCACTACTTTTTTTAACTGCCAAATAGCTGCAGTAGTTGGTTAGCCTTAGGGAAACATGTCAACCCGACTATACATTCTAATATGACTGATGTATTCAGATAACTATTACTTGTCAACAATAATTATTAACAATGGGTATATATTTCCATTCCTATAACAAAAGCAACTTCAAGATGTTGAAATATGTACCCTTTAGAGCTCCAAGATTAGATTACAAATAAAAATGTCTAAAATTGTGCCATGCCAGAGGACAATTTCTGCAATGGAAATTTAATTAAAGCAGTGTGCAGTCCCACCAGCAATCGGAATGCGGACCAGGGATCATTTTAGAGGGGAGGAACCAATACATTTTGGAGAGTGACTTCATCAGGATGAAATGCCACCAGTCTGGAAAGAAGAATCCGAATGATTGCTGATTTTCTGCACCTTTCAAAAACCATCTCTTGAGATTACAGCTGCAAATTCCTCTGCAAGTGCAATTTTACAAGTGTACACAGTTCACTCAGTTGAAATCTTTGTGACACAGAAGTTCAAAATAACTCTTCAGTAGTTTTGATCTCAAGGCTGTTGTTGATTACAAACCAGGTTCTCATTGAAACAATTGATTCTGAAGGCTACACCCCAGCAGTACAAAATTTCACTTCAAGGATTGCCTGGAGAAATGAAATTCCTATGTGTTGTATTTAACGTTATCAGCCTTGAGACCGACTTGATTTGTCTTTAGCTATCGGGTTACCTGCAAAGAAAAAAGAAAATCAGAAAATCAAAACTGTACATAGAGAATCTACTTCTGAAGTCCTGGAAACTGAAATATAAGTCCTCTATCCAGAAAAGCTGTTTCAATTGTTTATAAAGAAATGAATAATTCCCATTGGTAGTGGATGGGGACACTTCCCAAGTTACACTGGGTTATTAATTGCTTTGTTGGAATTTGATCTCAAAAGGAGACACTCAAATGTGACCATTCTTAAAAATATAAATTAAAAAAAACTGAAGGTCACAAAGAACATTGGGTTTAAGGAAACTTTCCATGTTTTGTTCATCCTTTTCAGTGTTAGAATTTCTGAATGGTAAAAACAATCCCTTTAAAATGCTAACCATCAGGTTCTGGAGACGTATTCATCTATTCTTTGCATGCCACTTGAAAATGCAATGTTCTGTTAAGTGCTAAATATATTCTAGCAAGCAAAAACCACTTAGTGGTGAAAAAGGACAAAAGGCATGCATACATAAACAAAAGCTATATCTTTCCTGTTATTTGCAAGGTATAAAATAATTCAAGAAGTTCATTTAGAGTGATATCACCCAACATAACGGGAAACGAGTGAAAGAGAAGGATCATCTAGAAAGAGCAGCAGGCAAAGCATTTCACATTAATTGGACTTTCCTCGTGTCTAACTCGGTTTTCACATATTAAAAGAAAAAACGTCCATCATAGAAACGTAATTTTGAGGAATATTTCTGCTGTGTCAGTGGATACAATTAATGATCATGTAACATTTTAATATCCAATTGTGTCAGGGGACAACATCCCAACTCGTGATGAACAACCTAATTGGACTGGTCACAATAACACCTTATGACAGACATCAAGGGGCATATGCTCTTCATTTTGATCTCAGAGAAAAGGGTCATGCTCTGTAATGATGAAACATTCTTTTGCCTTCAGCAAAACTGTTTGCACACAGCTCTCATCAGCTCTGCAGAGCACAAACATAGAGCAGAATATTAAGAAGACTGTTCTAGGAGTTCATTACTTCAGTTTGCCTTCACTAAGTTGTTTCTAGGAACAGCAATTAGGAAGGCAACATTAAAATTGTGCTCTGTGGGTCTTATAACACCAAAGATTTATTTATTACACTTTTATTTTTAGTTCTTGATGTTGTAAACTGCTTCATGCGATCCTTTCTGTAATGGAAGATTGCATGAAACAATAACGGAGAATTAATTTAAAAGTCAGGCAACATATTTCTATACCCTGCAACAAAGCTCAAAATGCTGACACAGCAACTAATTGGTTTTCTTTGTTTATTTGTATGTGTTTGTTCTTGTAACAAGCTGGAATTCTACTCATGGACCCAAATGCCACTGGGATGGATACTGTAATATATACATCTTCTGATCCTATCTGCAGGTGTAATTATATTAGCTTCACTTGATACATAAACATATAAAAAAACCGTGGTAAATCATCTGATGCAAAACACACTGAAAACAGATAAAAATAAATGAGACTCCTAAAGGGGTCAAGTAGATACAGGGCCAAAGTATCTTACATTTCTGTATCACAGAGTATACCAGAACCAAAGAAGAACCAGAGGAAGGTTTCATCAGAGACACAACTGAAAAGGCACAGTCACATGAACTCATTTGAATTCCTTTTCTGCCCACATCCACAGAGAGTCTTTGTTATTGAAAAAAGAGGACATAAGCTCTCCTTTTAGAGATGAAGTTGACCATGAGCCAGCAATATGCCCTTGTGGCAAAGAATGCTAATGGTATCCTGGTATGCATTAAGCAAAGTCAATAGAATCATAGGATCATTTGAGTTGGAAGGGATCCTAAAAGGTCATCCTGTCCTACTCTTCTGCAATGAATGACCTACAGCTAGAACACCTTGCTCAGAACTCCATCCAGCCTGATCTCGAGTGTCTCCAGCGATGAAGAATCCACCACCTATCTGGGCAACCTGCCTCACTACCCTTATCATAAATACTTCTTCCTTATATCCAGCCTAATCTTCCTTTTAGTTTGAAGCCATTTCCCCTTGTCCTGTCACAAGGGATCTTGATTACAAGTCTTTCCCTTTCATTTCTATAGCCTCCCTTGAAGTATCAAAATGTCTATTTCCCACATCTAGCTGTACAACTGTGTGGTGAGAATATCCCTGTACAATCAACATGCACTGTTACATACAGTGAGTAAAGAAAAATGACTGATAGCCATTCAAATCCTTGCTTTATATCAGTGTCTAGCAATACACAAATGTCATGTTGCTTATACAGTCTACATAGGAGGTCAGGTCTCATAATCCAAGTTTTTACAGCTACATCATTGCAGTTTTTACCTCCTCTCCTTTGCCAGAATTTTTATTATTCTACCTGCTGTACGCTTTTTTTTTTTTCCCCTTAATGTACAGATCACACACTGCTACTCCAAGCAACACACATAGTTATCCATATTTTCCTCTATGTAGGAAGGTAATACTTGTTATGAGCAAGCACACACCAGCTATTAACATTAATGGAAATTATATATCCATACACATTAGGGAGAGAACAGACCTCTCAGATGTTAAAGGCAATTTCATAAAGAAGCAGGGAAATTTTAGCTAATATGTAGTGATGTTATTTCCAGAAATACCTAATCTGGGACAAAATAAAAGCTGTAGGATTTGAGTAGCTGTGAAACAAGATATTGTGCCAATGGTCTTTTTAACAAAACAGGAACTGAGAACACCGTGTGTCTGATCTCTAAAATCCTAAGAGAACAGTAACACACTGAATGGGTGCAAGTCAAGACTAATCAATTTTTCAGTGAATAATAATATGCATGAAAATCAACTTTGTTGCTGCTTAACAACACAAATGAAAAAAGTACACAGAACCTTAAGCGTCATAGGTATTGATTTGAATTAATTTGTTCATTCTTGGGACATAATTACTCCCTTTATGCTAATATATTTTTCACACGGTTATTATGTCATAAATACAATACATTAGTCTCTCTTCACTTTCTTGTACTAAATGTGCAATTAAAGTATAATTACTCTGCCGTTGCAGACTTTTTAATTTAAATTAGTGAGTGGCTGCTGGAAGTTGGCTGTAATTGTATGTGAACTCATTTTATTTTAAAACAATAATATAAAATTAAATATATCTGAAGTTTTCCACATTTCTTCTGCTAATGTTCCTACAAGATTCAGTCCTTGGGTAAAACATTTTTGCCAGTGTGATCCAGAGTGAGCCAGAACTGAGGAGATCTCAAGGGCAGCACATTAGAAAAGCGATCAGTTCAAGAGATTTCCTGGTCAGCTTCTGGTCAGTGCTACCACAAACATGAAAACTGTTCTCACTTGTGAAATTCCCACAGCTGATGAATACAGCAGATAACATGTTCTATTCTGTCAGAATAGGTTTCTGATTAAAAAAAAAAAAAAAAAAAAAAAAAAAGTCTGTCACTTTTACGCAAGATGTTCTCCTGCCTTAGAAGAGGAAGGAGAAAATTAAAGACTATAGGATGAAAAGCATGGCTGAGTGAATGTTCTCTACGTAAGAAAGCAGTTTTAATAACTGTCATAAACCTAAGCATCAAAGTTACAGTGTCAATAAGGCACAGCACAATTCTTTTATTTTTTCAGAGAAATAAATATATTGAATACAACCTAACTACATAACAGTTTAAACACACAAATGAGGTATAAATGCAATCATTAACTAATTAGTAATGTTTTCAGAAAATAGATAATATAAGATAAATTGAAGTCAGTATGTGGTGGAACATTTCATAAGGCAAATTTTTACATTACTAATTTTTTGACTGTCAGATCTATCTTTTTTGTTCCATGTTTATCACATCTCATACATAAAATCCATATTCAAAACAAAATAATGAGTTAGTAAATTTAGGACTTGAAACTTAGGAACTTCCATTCTGTGGGCGCCCTTGCAAGAAAGACACTCAGTTCTGGTTTTTACCCAAAGAATTCATATAAATATGAGAGTCACGAAGAATTTAATACTTAATGTTTTATTGTCACCAAGTTTTGTTTCCTCTTCAATCATAATTTGTCCATCAACTATATTGCATAGGATTATGTGTATGGGCACAGAATGAATGTTGTCTGAGCATACTGAAAAATCATCAAGCTATCTTTACTTTTTTCAGATATGTAAGGCAGAGAAAGGGAATTACATATTTTTAATAGTCAATAGTTCACCCTGTGCTAAGTGGAATTGCATTGGACAAGAAAAGCCTTCTTGGCACCCCTACATTCTTCTACATAATTTTAAAAGCCTGTAGAAAAATGGTGTGTGGGTTTCTTAAAAAAATAAAAAGACTCTCAGAAACATATTTAATAGACAACAGGAGACAAGCTAAGCACACGGAGTGTCACAAGAATCCCTTAAATTCTTGAACAAAGAGACACATTACAAAAATCCCTAGCTATGAATTGTCCTCAGAAACATGTCTTGGAGACAAGACAGAGATCTTGTACGAATAGAGTCCTTATTTGCATGCAGTACAATTTTGCATCCTTACTTTTACATTCTTTCTCATACTGAACATAAACAAAGCACACATACACACACGCACACACACACAAAAATAATAAAGCAGTCAATGAAGTAGTCTTTTAGTAAACCTTACCTAAAATAGGATAGGTTTTAAGAAAGTTATTTCAGTTATATTTTTTCATGGGAAAAAAAAAAAAAAAAAAAAAAAAAAAAAAAAAAAAATCAACCTATTTTGGTAGTGAAAGCTTAATATGGACATTACAATGAAAAACTGAATTGCCCATATAACCAGAATCAAATATCTGTCTTTTTTATTTTATTTTATTTTATTTTTCCCCTCTTATGTGCCCTGCATAACAAGGTCCAAGCTGGAAATAAATATTTTGAACAGATGGAAGTTCATTACTTCCTGGAACTCCAAAATTCATACAGCATGTTTGTTATGCACTGTTATTCATACATGGCTTGTTAAAGCAAGTGACATTTTGCATTGCCACTTGTGCATTTTTGTTGATGAAATATTCCATACTTGCAACATACTACCTTGTATCTGTGATACTTCAAATTACTTATCAAATCTTAATAGAGGACAAGCTGACAATTTCCTCAGAACGAGAATCCTGTATTTTATTTTCTGCATTAAGGAACAGACAAAGGACAGACAAAGAGAGTGGTTAAGGATATGTTTGCAATAGGGTATCCGTATTTGTGTGCACTTAATAGTAGATAGGGGTAGATTTATATGTCCATAATAGATAACCAATTTATGAGGGAGAAATCATTTCAAAAGTTTGAGAAAGGTTGAAGCGATTCATTTGTACTTCAGAAGTATGCTTAATAGAGTAACTGCAAAAGAGAACTAAGAGTTGGGAAACAGGCTGCTGTTTCGTGACAGTAGACTGTTACTTGACTTGAGCTAATGACACAAGACAATATTAGAGTTATTTCTGGGCAGCTGTGAAAACAGCTATTTAATTATAACTCTACCAATTAATTTACCTTCAGTGAGGGTTAAGTATTGACGGATTTTTTCAAGTCCTCAATTATTTCATTCCTGGCAATAAAATTTCAGCCATACCTGTCTCTTGATATCAAAACTCAAGAGTATTAATTTCTTCTCTTCACTATACTTTAGAGAATGCAATATAAAATGTGTTTCTAAACATGTTCACAAGCATGCAGCAAAGCAATTTAGAATTCTAGATCCTCAGGTATGTCCTTCGGCAAACAACTCTAGCTCATTTCATTAATTAAACAGAACATTTCCCAATACATTTAAATGGCTCCAAAGTTTCCGATGTCTTTCATTAGTACTAGATTTGAAAGCTCTTAATACTTTCGTGCTTTTATTGCACTCTGACTGAACAGAATTGTATTTGTGAACATTCTGGTACTTTAGACTGTTCATTAGAATGAAAATAACATTGAAAACTCGTTTCACACCGTGCTGTTTAAGTATACTTTTGTATTTCATGTTTTCTCACTACTCTTAATGATTTTGGCAGGAAATTTTAGCTGTTAAATATGCAGATCTAGAGAAGCATTGTTAAACACTGTAAGGAAAACTAAAAGGGCTTTCACATGTAAATTGAGCTTTCCATTTGCCCCATATATACTAATCATATGCCAAGTGAACTTAAAGCTAGAACTAGAAAAATAGAAGACAAATATTTTAGAGCATGGCATACATTTCTGAAAACAGGAGAGTTTTAAGATTAAACAGACAAATTCTATTATATTTAAGGAATATGGCACAAATACCCCTTACCCAACTTGCTCTGAATTGTAAGTAATTGAGTATGATACCAAGCTTTCAACAATGAAACATCTATCTGCATGTCTATCTACAAGTCTATCATGCAATATCTATCTACGTACATACCAAGATGTATGTCTTTTTAAACAGTGCTTTCATGCTTTCCTACAATGATAACACAAATGTATTAACTGGATCTCTCTTTGAAAGGGGAGTGAGAGAAGAAAGATGTTTAAAGGCTTTTAGAAGCACCTGATTGATGCACTGAAGCTGTTTAGCAACACAGGGCAGAGTCTCTTGAACCACCCTCCTGGAGTCTTGCACAAATAAGCCAGGATTCCTGTGTATCTGCAGCAAACTAAATAACTACAATGAAGAATAAGGTACAATAGTTCCTGTTAATACTATGTAAACCTGTATTTGTACACACCTGCTGCTCTGTGAGTAATAAACCAGGGCTGGAACACATTTTCTGGAGTGGTTTGACTCTTTATTCCTCAACGAACGTTCTGGCCCTTCCTTAGAATCCGACCATGACTAGGATTCATCACAACTAGTGCTCCAACGTGGAGCCAGATTATTTAGTATGTGTGGAAAAATCATAAATTGTCATCAGGCACAGCAGAAACCTCCTTTCTCTACTTCTCCATTCGGACTTGAAGAGTTTTACACGTTTGCCTAAGAAACAAACACATGTCAAGTACTACACTGTTACGGAATTACTTACAGAAAACAAAACTGGGATAGATGGAATTTTCTTTAACTTACAGGTAAAAGTGCAGAACAACAGGAGGGAACATATTTCAGAACCAAAGTAAATTCTCTTAGCAAAGGAGCATGGTCTCAAAAAATAACCTGAACAATAACAGCAATTTCAAAGGAAAAGGTTCAAATATACTCAAATTCAGACTTCGTGATTTGTCTAGAAAACCAAACAGAAGTGGATAAGTAGCATTTGCTCTCATTTCTGCACGTATGTCAGTATTCTTCTATTAAACAGTAATTGAAAGAATTGAATAGAATAGAACTTTGATACAAATAAGAGGCATGTGACCAGAATACATTTCCTTCTAAATGAAAGACTTGAGTGTTTTCTTAACGTTAAAAAAACATTAAATACATTAAAAAAAAACACAAAACAAAAGCAAAAGAACTCAACTGCATCAAGTTTTACAAAAATGTGCATTCAGAGGAGAACTCTACTTACAGTCTCTTCTATGGCTAGTAGGCTACAGGAAACACCATAAAATAACATCAAAACACGCTGTTTAATTCAGGCACCTATTTCTTTATCTTTTGAGATTTTTTAGATAAGTTTTGGATTTGCTGATAAATTCTGACTGCTTCTGAAAAGGGTTTCACAGCACCTCAAAAGACCAACTTATTTTCTTTAAATAATGCTTACGAAAGATAATTATCTTCCTTTTTTTCTTTTTCTATTAGACCTTTTAACATAAATGTCCTACTGCAGATTATTAGAAACGTCTATTACAAGATAAAACTCATAAGTTGGATGGTCCCTTGATTTAATAAAATAACTACATATTTAAAATATTATCAGAGAAATAAATGTGGCTCTGGATTCACATTCACTTGAATTTGATATTTTACAAAATAAATGTAATTGATATAATGCACTGGGACAATTATCATAACATATAACTGATGAAGACGTTTGAGTTACGTCAAAGATAAATATAATTCATTACTTTTTCAAATGTATTTTGTTGTTAATCTCTTCCAAAAGACAATGTCACTACAATGTCCACAACTAAACTTTCTCAGTGATTCTGTAATTCAGCAGAGAAATCAAGTTTATGTTAGAGTGTTAAAACTTCATGAAATTTTTCATTTACAGACAAAAGTTTTGTATTGAGAGAAGACTTAAACATAAACCTTATTTTACTTTCTGTAACAGATAATAACTGTAGTAATTCAGACAAGGATATATCCTCTTGTGGTTTTTGGAGGTGATCACAACTCCACAGTGGGACTGCAGCATGACGACATAAAAGACTGCAAGACAATTAATTAAAAAAATGTAATTTTCTTCTGTTTTACACCATCTAATAGTCACAAAAGGAAGACAAAAATAACCTCAGTCCTTTTTACAACAAGGCAATCTGAAGGATTATAGAGTCATACTACCCTGCTAACTCTGAGAAAGTAAAGGGAAAAGCAGAGTCCTTTTGTCTTTCACTCAAACTTACAGCACTAATCTAAATAACCTACTATTATTCTTGATTGGAAAGTGAAACCTCTACCAATGAGCTACGAGTCTAATATGCTAACAAAACAAAAAGGAAGTCATTATTTTAAACTAGGTTGAGTTTTTAAACTACCTAGTAGCTAAAATGGATTTTCACCTTCTAATATATTTTTCCAGAAACTGTCTAAGATTGAACTTCAAATTATCCCTAGTAATGTGTTATCCCCAGGTGTGTTATTTTTCTAGGGATTTTGAATGAAGAATAACAAGCCATTTGGATGAAATCAAAATAGAAACATAAATTATTTCCTTACCTGTAATTTTATCTCCTCTATGAGGGTACCTGCTGCTTTGTTAGTGCAGTACTGATGTGTTTTCTACCTTTGTCCCAAGCTCCAGATTCCTTTGGTGATTTTCCCCCACTTGCTTACCAGCTTCCACTGCTGGCATTTTGAGGAAGTGCACTCACATTTGGCTCCACGAATACTGCCACAGCTGAGGGAATATAAGACAACTAAAAAACAAGTTAGAATACAGGAGAGCAATACCCAGGCAGGAAAAAAAAAATGTTTAAAAACAACGAGTCAGCAACTTGAAACACTTTGATCATTTTCCTCTTTCTTTCCATCAATTTAGAGTCTCCAAATAAAGAAAAGACTTTCCCGTGTGCAGAGAAAATTAAGGCAAAGTAGTGAGTGCTGACAGAGGAGTGGGCATCCATTTAGAGAATATAAAATTATTTTAAGGGAATCTAATTTTAACGTTCTCCAGTCTGAGTACCCATCACACTATCACTCTAATACAAATAAGAAACAGAAGAAAGGTGGCAGATTTAGAAGATTACAGAAAAATCCCTTTCACCCTTTGTCAGTTCTTAATAGAAGCAAGAAAAGGGAAGAATGAAGAGCTTTTCACTGAAAAGCTGTCATAGATGAACAATTAGGATGATTTCTCACTGCCTAGGGAAAAATACATAAAGCCTGGTTCACTAGGAAGTAGTCAGGGTCACAGTTGCTCATTCCTGACTAGCTGTTGGTCTTGGTTATTAGAGAAAAAGAATGAAAAAGAGAAATCAGTACTTCCCATTTAAATTTAAAAAAAAATATACAGAACAGAGAGCAAATTCACCATCTGTGCTTGAAGGAGCATGCAGATGACTAAGTTTCCCTGTGATCTTCTTGAACATCTGACATGTATGATCACAACTTCCTGTGACATTCTTGGAAGCATACACGTTGATATTAATTCCAGAAAAATTCTTTGATGGTCCTCATCAGCATTTTCTCCAAACTTGTGATAAACTTGAAATACCTCCTTGCTTGAGTATTATGGATATTTCCAGGTAAAAGATACAACTTCCTATAACTTCTGTGTTCTGGGGATTACCTTAATGCTGTTTTTTGGACCTCATAGTGCACAGAAAATTTGAAGTAATAAAGAAAAGGCCAAAAGGTTCTGAATGTTGTAGCCTTCATATTTCAGGAATGTAAGTAACAATTATGTGATTTAATGTCAAGAAAGAGAAAAAGGACTATCGCACGGAAATCTCTTGAATGACTCTCAAAAAGAAATTGGCTTTGCCAGCAATCAGCTTCAAAACTGACAAGCTGCATTCTAGGAGAAAGTTTATTCTTCCTTTTTTGTAGATAATGTTGAACAATAACTATTGGCAACTGGAATTAGAATTATGCTTTGAAGACAATAAATTTGCTAAGCTGTTCTTTTCCAAGATCACTCCAAAAAGATTGCAAGGAGGTACAATAGAGGGATCTCAAGATTCTAGACTAGCTACTGTACATTTGACTAGATTGGTAACAGCACAAGAAAAGTTAACTTCTTTAGTCTTCTTTTGGCAGGGTTATGTCCCTAAGCCACAAAGCTCAAATTCAAGATGAAAGAAAAAGCTGCTGTTCTGTCTAGCATCGAGAATACATATTTTCCGGTATTCTCAAACTTGAACACACATAATTTTTGGACAGTTTAAAATACATTAAAATTCTTGAATCTTCCATTCCATTCACAGGCTAAATAGAAACAATCCATTGTTCACTTGATATGGTACCCATCTTTATAAACCGGAGACACCCTAGTATTCACTTCTGGTTTTAGAGACTTTACCAAGATAATGCTACAGGTCACATTAGGCAAAGAAGTCATGGTGAAATTGATATTTTGCAGCTTTGCTCAAAATCTTCACTTCAGAGCTCTATGGTATTTCTCACTGCAGATATAGAAGGCAATGAATGGTAGTCCTTAGGACTGAAAGATCTGAGAACGAATCGTCTGTACATGCTAATAAAGGAGCAGAAGAAAGCTCAAAATGTACTTTTAGAACATACAAAAACCTTTGCAGACTTTTCTCAGTAACAGTAGTATTTTGCCCAAGATGAACCAAGTCTTCCTCAGGGTGAAAAAGGAGTAAATTATAAGCTATGAAAATATAAATAATTTTGAAAATCTTACAGAAATGAATTTAATGTTGGTCCTCTTATTTTTTTTTTTTTTTTTTTTTAATTCAGTCCTAGAGATCAGTCTCTCATTTAGTCTTGCCTGAAACACATTTTTTTTCTTCCATCTAAATACTCTTTGGATAGGAATGGACTGTTTTCATTATTCTAATTAGGATTCCAACTGATTTGAGAGTTTTTCACTGGTCACACCAGTGACTGTATGAATGCTTTGTATGACTGACTTTGTCTAATTGTTTTTTATTTTCTATTCATTTTTTTCTCTGCCGCTAGAAGGCAAAAAAGCAGAGCTAAAACAGAGCAGAACATCTGAGGTTTTCTATACAGACCTAATGAATAAGAAAATACCTCAAGAAAACTATGAAATTTGGGAGAACTGAAAGTAATACCTTTTAGAAAACTGGGGTACATTTTCCCACACCCTTACATCATTTCTGTGGCTGAACAGTTTGTGAAGCTTGTGCAAAACAGAGGCAGGAGTTCTGCATGCAGCATTGGGTAATGAGAGCTTTCAGAATACTCCAGTCCTTCTGAATGAAATTCAGTCTTTCTGACTTTCAGAAATGATCCAAAGCACTCATAGACCACAAAAGAGGGTGTGACAAGCAAGAAACACTAGTTTTTGAGCATACCAACATTACTCACGTGATGCTGGCATTTGAATGTCATCTCCCTATATTCGTAAGGTACTGCAAACTGACAAAGGTTTCCCATTGCTAAAGCTAAATAAGACTGCTAGATATTCAAAGATTCTATCTTACATAGCTCTGAAAAGGCACAGATGCTGCAAATGAGAGAAAAAACATCTGTGGTTTCAATGTTATGCCTTTTCCACTTTGTAGAGCAGTGGAGAAAACCAGTAATTTACATGTGGCCTTCAGAAGTCATTCTTATTTTCCATTATAGAGGCAGAAAATTATTCATCAGACATGAGTTTAGTATCTCAAATATGCCAGCAAGAGAAAAACTGAGGAGAAAAAATAATAATTAAAAAAATCACAAGAGGAAGTGGAATCTTTTGGGACAAAGGCAGAAAACCTCTCAGCAGGACCGATGGAGTGAAGGATTCCCAGGTGGAGGAAAGCAATACTTGCAAAAAAATAACCAATTAGTTAATTAATGACATGCAGTTGAATGCATTTATGCTTTTCTTTAACAATGACAGAAATATTTGTCTTTGATTTTAGAGTAATTCCATCAATTTTAAAGTTTTGTAAAGGCTAAAATGATGCTGTGCAATGGATGCTACCTACAGTTTTGCCAAAAAGAAAACTATCCCCTCATAAAAATGTATAAACCGTAATATATATTACTAACACTTTATGAGTGTGGAAAAGGGTTTGCAGAAGATTTCATTTCTCATGATTTGTGCAGAGAACCTGCTCATAAAAATAATTGGAATAACACCTCAGAACAGCTACAGACAAGACCTAAGGCAGTCCCAAGTAGTACCAGGCACAGAAAAAAAGAATCAAGGCAAATTTTCAAACCTTCTAGGCAATTAATTTCTGATAATTAAAAAAAATTAATAGAAATACCACTCAGATTTTCATATATTTTCTTAAAGTAACACATTAACAAGCTCTTCCTGTTCAGAACTATACATATGAATGTTGCCCTTATCCATTCTCTTTTGCAACAGAAAATTTCTTGCGTTGAATATTTGGACTATCTTGACCTGCCCAAGTTTTACTGTCATTCAATGACTTTGCTTATAACATTTCAGACTTCAGATACAAAACACTTTCATTACATAATTTCATACAAAACATTTTTAACATCCCTATTTTTGTGTTGATTTCATTGCTTTCCGGAATGCACTGGATTCATTTTTTCCATCATATTTCAATAGAGTTTGGGTGGATCACTTGTTCCACCTTGTAATCAGGTCAAGAAGTCCATCTGCATTTATAGTGTAGAAAAGGTAAGCAGGAAATGGAAGAACAAGTTAAGACCAAGTTGGAAACCAGGTCTAGTATGTGACATCACACAGCAATGAACTGCTAACTTTTTTTTTTATACTAGTCTATAATAGCATTCTATTCTACTAACTCTATTCTATTCTACTAATTCTATATCCTTACTCTTATGGGTTTTGTAGTTAGTTCTGTAATTAACTTGGATTCATGTAATTAGAGTCACATGCCTGTGAAAAAGCTCTGTACTGAACTATTAGATCTGCTTCAAATAATTAGCACAGCCTGTGATCTCTCTCTGTTATGCATTCCTATGTCAAAACCTCCACACATGCTCTAAGTGCCCTTTTTCGCTACCTTAATTCTCTTCTTCTTCTAACCCCTAATCACCGTAGCTTGTGTCTCGTGTCTTGTTTTTTGTTTTTATTTGTTTTTAATACACATTTGTCTTCAGGAAAAAAAAAAAAAAAACTTGTCTAGATTTTTGTGATCTATAAATGGCTGTAATCAAGCAGTGAGCCTAAACTCACGTCAAATGTATACTTGTAACAGGAACCTTTCCATAGGATAGAACAAGGCCTGCCAACTTCATGTTTAAGACATAAATTTGGTATTCCGCAGATATTTTAAAGAGATTCAGTGAATTATTTAGCCTTGAAAACTGGTGATTCATTCAAACCTTTTGGAAAGCTACACTTGGGAAACTCTAATGTGTGTTGGCCAGAGATGTTAAATATTTTCCTCAAAATTTCCACGTGTCCAAAAAAAGATTACTGTTTGGGCAACCTACAAAAAAATACTGATCTTCAATATGAATGAGTTGGAACAGTGGATCAAAACAATAATCACTAATGCAAAAAGTTAACATGACCCTAGAAAATGTTACCTTATTTCCATTCCCAGCTCATTTGTTCCCTGAAACTTGTGTGCATTTTTTAAGAAAATGTAGACATACCATTTATTGCTATTTTAATGACAGATTAGATACACTGGGTCTCTGAGCTAGCAATGAGAAACATGCTGAGACAGCTGCAAATTTCTGCTAGTGACAGATTAGCCAAAGGCATAGAAAGAGATACCATAGCAACAAAGAGCCAGCCACAAGTGCAATCACTCTTTTCCATAGCTAATATTTTGCTACAGTCTGTGCACTTGTATTGTAATCACATCCTTTTTATGAACCACAAAATATAGCTCATCACTGTACCCCCATACATATCGTTCCTATAAATCTTCACCCAAAATTCAGGTGGAAGGTGAGGAGTCTATAGACAGAAACTTTGAAGTGAGGGAGGGGGGTAGAGAAGTTTTTACAGCAAGGTAGTCTTTTAATTTGATTCCTTAAATAACATTTGAAGAAGCACTTCCTATAATTATTTACTACTGACACTTGGC